CATGTGATCAGCTGGTTTTGGTTGTCAGCAGCAAAACTGGTTGATCCACTCTGAGAAGGTGCTATTTAAGAGACTGAGCTGAATACAGCACCTCAGACTGAGGAAGTCTTTCGGATGAGAGACGAAACGTTTCTATATATTTTTTTGCTTTGTTTTGTTTTTTTGAATGTCCAGAGGACCAGATTGAACTTTTTTGGGTATTTCCAATTGTTTTCTCTGCGACGAGGGACAGACATATCAAATTAGATCTGTTTGCTTCTTCTGTAATCTGTCATTAGATGATTGTTGATATGAGCTGGTGCAAACTAGAAACTTTATGCAGAAATACTGAAGGCCTGAAACTCCAACATCCATCAACATTCTCTAAAGCCCTGCAGGAATTTGGGACTTCCTGTTGTAATAATCTAAACTATGACAGAGTCAAGAGTCTTTTTTGAAATTTGAGGTTTCTCCAACATTAAAGCTGAATCCTCCTGAACCTCAGAGGTCTGATTAGATGACCTGAAGTCTGAGATTCTTCAGGATCTGTAGGGGCAGCCATGATGGGTATCAGAGAAGCCAGCGGTCCTGATTTTGATAGATCACTTGGTGCCATGGCGATTTCTACCTTATTGGGGATAGCAGTAAGGAACAAGCAGAACACAGCAGCACATTAGGCAGAAACACAAACTAAAAATTAGGCCTCGGACAAACATTCTGTGAAGAAACTGTACGTCTGATCCAAAGATTTATTGACCCACAAGCAGCAGAACGTTCAGAGGGTCACATCCATTTTTATGTTTTACGTAGAGGATGTAACCAAGTAAAATAATCTTCACTTACAGTTTAGAGGAGAACAGTTTGATCTCAGACACAATGACATTCAGTGAGTGTGGCGTGTTTTATCTACTCTCTGAGGGGATTTGAGACAAAACCATCAGAGCTACGGTGGAGAGAGACTGTGTGAACAAGAACAGAAGTACAGACATGTTGATGTATGAACTGTATAACAGCAAATACTGAGTGTAATAGTTTGCAAAGATTTTGGAAACCTCAAACAGCTCATCTTCACATGGAGTCCTGTGGTAAAATCTCCAAACCTAATCTGTGATTGTGTAAAACAGGTGAAGATCTGAAAACAGCAGTCTAGTCGTGTAAAGTCATACTTTCTGTGATCTGTTCAAATTCTGAATGATGGTTCTGTGAAGTAGCACGGTGGCGCAACTGGTAGAGCTGCTGCCTCTCAGCGAGCAGGTCCCTGGTTCAAACCCCGGTCCAGGGGCCTTTCTGGGTGGAGTTTGCATGTTCTCTCCATGCATGTGTGGGTTTTCTCCGGGTGCTCCGGTTTCCTCCCACAGTCCAAAAACATGCATGTTAGGCTGATTGGTAACTCTAAATTGTCCCTAGGTGTGAGTGAGAGAGTGAATGGTTGTTTGTCTCGTTTGTCTCTATGTGGCCCTGTGATGGACTTGCGACCTGTCCAGGGTGTACCCCGCCCCTCGCACAGTGATTGCTGGACATGGGCACCAGCGACCCCCGTGACCCAAAATGGAATAAACGGGTAAAGATAATGGATAGATGGATGGATGGATGGTTCTGTGAAGTCTGTCCGAGCTGCAGACAGGACTGGACTTTACCACTTACTTTAACTGAAAATCATTGATGTCAACAGGGAGATAAACTGTGTGAGCCTTTCAGGTTTTATGTATTTTTAGAGATTTTACTACAAAATGTTCAGCTTAGAGTGGCAATAGCACACTGGTTTTATCTTCTCTTCAGTGGCTACCTGTCATATTTAGAATTCATCCATCCATCCATTATATTTACCTATTTCTTCTATTTTTGGGTAGTGGATGTGACTGGTGCCCATATCCAGCTATCACTGTGCGAAAGGTGGGGGACACCCTGGACAGGTCTCAGTACATCACAGGGACACATAGAGACAAATGACACAAACAACCATTTGCACTTTCATTCACACCTAGGGACAATTTAGAGTCACCAATCAGTCTAACATGCATGTTTTTGGTCTGTGGGAGGAAAATTGAGTAGCTGGAGAAAACCCACGCAGCACGGAGAGAACATGCAAACTCCACCCAGAAAGGCCCCCGGCTGGGATTTGAACCGGGGCGACCTGGGCGCTGAGAGGCAGCAGCTCTACCAACTGCACCACTGTGCTGAATTTAGAACTAATTTTAACATTTTAGTCTTGACTTTTAGAGCTTTAAATGGACAGGCCCTCCAATACATCACTGAAATGTTGATCCCTTATTCTTTAGCATACACCCTTCGGTCTTCAGTGCTGAACCTCCTGATGACTATCCTTTCAGGCTGTAGGCCCCAGGCTGTGGAATAACCTGCCCCCGTCTCTTGATGTGGCTGTCTCTGATGATTCCTTTAAAAAGCAGCTTAAGACATTTTTATTCAGACGAGCTTTTAGCTAAATGTACTACTTACTGTTTTTATCAGCTGTTCTTAGGTTTTTATCAGCTTGAAATATAATTTTATCAGATAATATATTAACTTAATGAAATATCTAGATATATGTATCCTGTTTTTGATATTTAGAATGATATTGTGTTAAAAACGTGATCTGATTCCGTTTCCGGTAGAAAATGTAGTTTCAGCTACATGCCTACAACTCCCAACATTCACGCACCCACCATTATAGAACACAAGATGGCGAGATATTATTGGTTGAGAGCTGGGTCACACAATAAGAGTAGGACCTCCCATTCGCTGATGGTGATGATGACTCCAGGAGGTGTGGCCGAGCTCTGAAGAAGATGGGTTGTCTGTTTACACTCGGCGCCATTGTTCGTGACCGCATGGTGGAGATACAATGGCCCAGGGCTGGTGATCTTGTACTTTACATGTAAAATAAACCACGTGAAATGGAAGAAAATTGCTCCTCCTCTCCCTGCTCCAGATCAGAACATATTCTTACAAGCTGTTCTTACAGTTTTTATCAGCTGTTCTTAGGTTTTTATCAGATGTTCTTAGGTTTTTATCAGCTGTTTTTATCAGCTGTTCTTAGGTTTTTATCAGTTGTTTTTACTGTTTTTA